GCATATTCTGGGAGAGCGACGACCGACTCATATTTCGGGTTGAAGACCGGGACTCTGTTTACATAAACACTTTCAACAAAGTGTTACAGTGTGTATTCTTTAAGTACTCTTGGCACAGTGGATACTCAATATGTATGCATACTACACTATAGCTACAAGTTCAACCCTTTCGAACGCTTTACAGTACGTTTTAAGCGGAGATCAATACGATCTCTAATGAGAGATAATGCTAACAAGTTATCTCAAAAAGCTACTGAATCAAATTATTATGTGAAGTTTGCCATTCTTATGTTTTATTTGCAGTTTGTCTTAATCTAAGCAACAAGAATTGATCAACCTTAAAGTGAGTGATCGAGAAAGATAGCTCGAGAGAGAGGGAGAGAGAGTGAGAGCGAAAAAGAAATAGAGATACACATAGTAATCTGACTTATATAACATTCATGCCATAGTTTATGTGTCACAATAACGAATTCCGAATACATTTCGAGCTCATGTTCGATATGTGATAGATATTTCTCATATGCTGAGTTAGTTAATTATCTGAACTACTCGAACCAGGCAATTGAAAGTGAAAACACGAGGCACATACGCAAACATACAGCGACGACTAGCTATGAATGCCCATGAATACATAGTACGCATAAATCTGTAACGTTTGGCAAACGCTTCCTCGAACCACAACAAATTTGCAGCATAAATCAACATCGAAATCCACGCACAACCAGCTCCAAATGCAGCTCCAGCTCCAGCTACAGCCCCAGCCCCAGCCCCAGCTCCAACGCCAAGTCCGACAAAAATAGAGCGTTGGCTGTTACAGTTCGCCTGGGCAACTGGTTTGGCCTTTAAAATCACAGATTGTCGGGTAGATGTATGCTGGACTAAAGCATACTCTGTAGATTGACGAGGTATGGGCGTTCCAGGGCCGGAGTTATCCGATTGAAGAAAGAAACGATATTTTGTACATAATTAAATAAAAATTTAAACTATATATCTTGCTTGATAATAATTAAATATCGTTTTAATACTGAACCAAATTACCTCTCAATCAACTTTGAGTTTATTGAAGATTTAAAGTAAAATAAAAATACTATATCATATCATAAAATACTATATCACTCAAATAAAAAATATTTACAAAAATAGAAAATAAAATATTCAATTGAACATCATAGATCTTCACTTGGTATACGAGACTGTCTCTAGATATTGTATTCAGTATATAGCATACATTAATTTTATTGTTTGCGCATGCCCAGCATACCCTGTATGGTCGCCCCATTTATGGATCGAGGGCATAGAAATGCGGTTTGCGTGCAGCAGCTCAGAGCTGGGCGCTTGGACTTGGACTTGGTCATTGGCTGGGCAGGCATACGCATGGAGTGGGCCGTGAGTGCCGGGTGAGTGCCTGGGATTAGAGTGACCATTTGGCATGTTTATAACCAGTTCACCCGCCGCTTGGTGCGTGCGCTTCCGTTTTCCGGTCCAAGAGGCAAAAGCAAAGCCGAACTGGTTGACATGCTGAGCAGAGGATGGGAACATATAAAATGGGCAGCAGTCGGCAAGCGGAGCAACAATTGTGGATCAACCAGCAAAGAGAATGGCGACAAGTCTAGTGTGGCTGCTCCTGCCGCTGCTGTGCCATGGCATTGCCGGCCAGCAGCTGATGTATGCGCGCGATCAGCGCTCGCTCTACGAACTGCCCCCGCTGGACTGGAACACCGTGGGCAGCTTCAGCCCCATTGGCCTGGGCCACATGACCAAGGATGAGCTGCTGACGCTGCTGGAGGCCTGGCAGGATGTGGAGGCGGAAACAGCTACGCCAGCCCCTGAGCCGGCCGAGACGCCCGCACCGCCGACAAAGCGGCCGCGGAAGCCACTAGCAACAGCACCAGCACGTCCACCACCACCGCCTCCTGCACCACCAGCTCCAGCACCGGAGCCAGCGGAAGCCGGACCGGCACTTGCTCCTGGCAGACCTGTAACCGTGCGCCTGCCCGCCCTCGTGCCCGTCCAGCTCGCTGCCATGTTCACGCCGCCCCTGGCAGGAGGAGGAGGAGGAGGCGTTGGCATAGCGGACGCAGCAGAGGCATTGGGCGCAGCTGCGCCCGCCGACATTGCTGCGACAGAGCTCGACCTGATGGCGCAATCCCAAGAGGACGCCGCTCCGCGTCTGTTCCAGTTCACGCAGCTGCCTATGATGGCGGCCCAGCAACGTTCCCGGCCCGCTCAGCCACCGCCAGTGGTGCGCAACACGTTGGAGAGCGTCGACACGGGCATTGCGCCGCTGGCCAATCTCGTCAAGGCCAAGTCGCTGAACGCCAGGCCAAAAGCCACGCCCATAGCCAAAGAATCGCCCATACACCAGGGGCCGCCGCTTAGGTCCAGGTAAGAGCTGCGCACTCTACTATATGCCTTCACACTAATCTTCATCATTGTTCTCTCAGATTTTCGATGCCGCCGTTGCCTTATGTGGCCAATGCGCCCGGTCGACTGGAGTTGGTGCCCTCATCGCAGATCATTGGCGATTGGCGCGAATAAACCAAAGGCCATAAGAGTTTATCTCTTCTTATATATATATTTGATTTTTTTTTTTTTTTGAGTGATACTTAACACAAGTCATATTTAACACAATAGAGGCCTAAAACAAAATATAAATATTAAAATATTAATGCATATCCATATGTACAGCTCGTAAATCTTTGATAATCTATTATTTTATACTCCACTCTTTGCATTTATTGTATATATGAAGTACGTTTCATCAATCGAGCTTTAACTAATTACAAATAAATTAACTCTTCTTTAATTGTGTGATTTTGTTATTAAAAATAAATGGTTACAAATTTAACACGTTTCCGAGTTTTTGACATTTTCGTATTATGCAAATTCATTGTATTTTAATTTAAAATTAAAATACATTCATTAAAATTTGTATTAATATGCTTTAAATTACAAGATAGCAAACAATTGTTGTTAACACCTACAATATAAATAAATTAAAGTTTAAATAAACCGCCATTTGCTGTATTCTTAAATACTAAAAAGTTGGCCAATAGCTCGTCTGGCCACTCTGCTTAAATCGTCGTTGAGTAACTCGATTGCAGTTGGTATTTTATTTGTCATTTTTAGTGCTAGATTTGGACAGCTTTTGCTCAGCAGCCACAAGCAGAACTAAACAAATCAAATTTATTTGCTAGTTAAATAACAAATTAAGAGGAACTTTATAAAATACGTTGTTACAAATAAATACATATATAATAATATAAAACCGAAGCAATATACAGGCTAAATTAGGGCATTTTGCAATGAATCTGACACAATGCAGCGCTGGTGTGTAATTGAAAAGATCCGTTTGAATGATGTTTATACATATTTTGATTAAGGCAGACTTAAGCCTCTTAAAAACATTATCAAAGGCGCCTATTATATAATAATATATAAGCACTATCCAATTGCTTTCTCATAGATTGATTAACTGTTTTCTCCAATACTCAACCAAACAGAGTGAAATGCGTATATTGTATGCTACATTACGAATCAGAGCGAGATGGCACGTGAGCTGCATTGATTAAAGAGAGAGTGCATGATGCAGGTTTCATTTCTATACAGGAATGGCAAAGAGTGACAAAAGCAAGGAGGAAAAATCATCAAACGTTATTTTAAATGAAAATAATTTAAAAAGTATTTTTATTTTTTAAATTAATTAAATTAAATTAATTAGGAGCAGGTTATATGTTTTAATTGTGTAATGTATTGCATGATACTTTGTCAGAATCTAATTTTCTTATTTGCTCAACCGTGAGAAATCTGATGAGAAGTCAGCCACCAGCTATACAACACATACATTGACGAGCAAAATTGTAACTCGAATTCAATGTTGCAACTTCAAGGGTCTGCATTTTTGCTTCTACTCTATGGATGTTTAAGATCTTTATTTTATTTTGTTAGTATGTTAGTATGATAGCTGTCTTACCTGAATTTGAAATCATTCGGTTGGCTGGAATAATTATAAGAAATAAAAATGTAAAGAAAGTCATATGTTACGGTTTTGCACCCGGGTCATTTTTCAACAAATGTATTTATTAATAATTTTTTAATAATTAATGCAAAGCTCTTTTGACTTTTTTCATTTTCCATTTCAGCAAGAATCACCAAATGCCATTTGTCCTATCCCATAGCTCTATCACTTGGAGCTCACTTGGAGCCACCCATAATTCGCAGGCTGCGATTTCAAATGACGCCATATATTTTCAATGATATTCATGTCTGAAGAATATTCAGGACACTTCAGGGTCTTGAATCCTTGCCATATTATCCACTTTTTGCCCAACTTAGACGTGTTCTTTGACTCATTGTTCTGCATTTTTCAGTAGTAAAACCCATATGTTCACCTAATTCTACCAAATTCTTTTGTAAAGTGATCAGGTATTGATCATGAAACGTTATTCCATCGATTAACACCATTAGTCCAGCTCAATATTTGTTTATTCTCCCCTAAACCAAAAGAGAGCAGCCACCGCGCTTGATAGTTTACCTTACTGTACTATTAGAGTATTATAACTCGAGATCTGCTGGACCAGTTTTCATGGTTTTTTTCATGGTCCGCCCCGAATAGCAGAATATATCTGAAAAGTACTGAAAAATTGACGAATACTTGAAAAATGCGTTATTTTCCCTATTGCTATTGAGGATCTTTGCATTGTCATTGAGAGTCAATAGGCTTGATAACAGTGTCAGTTTTCGGTCATGCTCTCATGTAAAAATAATTTATTCTGTGTAAATGTCTTTTCATAGGTTGTCTATGATTTTTCTTGATAAGCTATTATCTATGTCTAGATTGTTTTATGTGGCTTTGTGCGAGTTCATATTCAGCATTGCTATAAATAAAAATGCCGCTTCCTAGAAGATGTAATCTTTCCCAGCGGACCCGTAATGCAATTGGGCAACGGAAAATCGTGAGTCAATTATCTGACGAAGAACGAGAAATCGTCCGAAATAGTCCACTTTACATCCCATACTGTATGAGTATTATAGGATATCTAATACTCATCCCTCTCTCCAATGCTTAACGGCAATCTGAATCTGTAGCTGAACAGATATAACGGTTATTTCAGCAGTTAAAACACGGCCTGATTTGAGCTTTTGCAAAGCTAGCAGCGCAAGCTAAGGCTAACAGCAAAAGCTGGGAGGAGCGTGAGCAGGAAAAGCTTTGGGGGCTTTTGCTGTTGCGTCGCTGTTACAGTGTGACAACTTGTTGTGAACGGACGGATGCTTCCGGACTCTCGAGTCGAACGTTGCGATTTCGAATCATTCGTCAACAGACTCTCGTGCGATTCGGTTCAGCTTCAGACACACTCTAAACTATCTCTCTGTCTCGCTCGCTCTCGCACAACGGCAGGCTAAGGCTAAGCAGCAGCAGCTAAAGCATTCCGCTCAGTCAGCATCACTGACAGTCAGCGCTTTGTTAGTCGGAGAGGGCAACAACAACAACAGTTACACTCGCGTACGCATAACGGTTACAATTTTTGAAAAATTTTCGTGTTGTGCTTGCGGATTTCTCTGCGTCTGTGTGTGCGCGTGTGTGTGCGTCTTGATTGTTGTTCTTCTTCTTCGTCTTCTTCTTTTTTTTTGCTGTGCCCAAGCCCAAGGTGTTTGCATCTGCATAACTCGGCGACGTCCAGCCGACTGAGCCAGACGAAAGTCGAATGTTTTGAAATTATTTTCGAAAGCAAAACCAAAACGAAAAGAAAAAAGAAAAATCTAAGTAAACAAGTGTCAAAGCTGTGAGCAAAGGCAGCAAATAGCCCAACGACAACAGAAACAACAAGTTGAGAAGGTGAGTACAGAATCTATGTTAATTATCGTATAGTCCGGCTATAACGACTCCGCCTATAGTGTCCGTACGGTTGTTGCGACAAAATTCTGGTCCCCAGATAATCATATATGAGTAAACTTATATGGTTACAGCGTCTTCCGGGTCGCTTGAGCGTCGTTATAGACGGATTCTGCTGTACTTGAAGCAGAACATTTGAAATTCAATTTGTCAGTTATCAATCAATTTTTAAACTCATAAGTAATATTATATCGAATTACTTTAGTTGTAAAACTTAGATATGGTCTGTGGTTAGTCCACGCCTACTTTATTTAAGGAACATGTCAAATCCGTGCTTATTCCATTTTTATGATATGTGTACTCAATTAGGAGCTGTAAAGATCTGTACATTTGTATTTCTTATTTGTTATATTACTAAACAAAATCCAAAGATCCATGAAGCATAGTATATTAATAGAAACACGAATTCGAATGAAATAATAAGAAAGACAGAAAAACAAATTCAGTCGATTCCCGATAATTAGAAATGGCAAGGGAATCATTTTTTTTATTTTTTTTTTTTGAATTACTCAGAAATTCGAACTATCGAAAACGATTATTTTTTTCAAGGGAATAGAATTTTCGATTTATCGCGATTTTCGATTTTTCGGATTTAGACTCGTCTGTAAATAAATATATTTAAATTAATATCTACTTGGAATTATTGTATCAATTATTATGTATATAATGAACTGAGTTGAGTGTTGAGAATGTAATAATTTAAGTAAAATAGCTTAAAAACACTGTGATCACTTAAACTTTGTTTAATCACCAGCGTCTTTACTCTACCAATGCTCTTCTCGAAATGTTTGAGCTGCACTTCTTGCCATACTGTTGAAATTGAAGTTTTACACGAATAACAGAAGAACAAATTAAAAGAGTGTAAAATATATAAAAAACATGCTCATATAATATAACAAATACCTAATGTATTATGCCAAAATATATTAGCAATAGTCATCATTTATTTTTATATTTACAAAATAATACGTGTAATGTAAACAAAGTATTTTTTTTT